TATAAGGTTGGACACGAGAATCGAAGTGCCTTTCACCATAACCATCGGATCTCACACGGATCAACAGTCCAAATTTAGTGAAAAAGGAAAATGGTAGGAAATTAAAAAAAAAATAAGGTGTAAAACTCTATCCTCAACTTTAAAAAATCACACATGGAGAGTATGTCTCACAACTTTTGCTTGGGATTGAACTTTGAGCAACATATATATACCATATCACCTTCCAATATAGTCTCACTTTGAATAAGCTCGTATCATATCATACAATCATGGTCATATAAACATCAAGAAATAAAACAAGAAATAATGATATTATTCTATTCTCTATAAACCCTATAAACAATTAAAATATTTTAGAGATATTCCTATCATTCGAACAGCAAGTTAGTTATAATTCATATTTAAGATAAAGATAGGTATATGACCAATAAAAATGAATATTATTAAAAATATATACTTTTCAAAAGTAACAATGTCAATATTAAAAAAATTAATTGCTCTGTTGTCATGTTAAATAATATAAAACATATATTTCATATGATTTTAGTTTAACAGTAAATATATATAATTTTCTTATATTTGATTTTAGTTTAAGAATAAATGTATACTAATGCATATTAAATTTTTTTATATTTGTTCAGCAATACAATTTATCTTATTATATTATTTTTTTAATTTCATATTTATAGTATTAATGACTATTTAGCCCCATATATATTAAGGGAGATAATATCTCGTACACTCGTATCTCTAATATTCAGATCCGTAATTCAGGTAAGTAAGTAAGCAAGGATGTCAATTTATAAAACAACCCTCTTCATAAGAAAAAGGTAGATTAGAAAAGACATTTTTCCAAAACGTAAAAATTAACTTAAATTATGCATTTCAAATTTAGTCCAAACTTAACAAAATTATATATTCTTCGAAATAGTTATTCAAAATACTTTTTTAGATCATATGTTTTAAAACTTATTTTTTTTATATAATATTTTATAGGAATAATTGTGAAATACATCCCAAATTACACATTTTGTAAATCTTCCAAAGTAATTAAACTACACAAAATACTAAGAATATAAGTCTTTACTGTAATTTAATAAGTGGTCAAATATCACCCTACTAAGTTACTAGCTAGTTTTAAATTCTCAAACAACACAACATAAATTATAAATAAGTTTAGGGTTCTTAGGACTCTATTATATTATAAGTTATAATTACTTAAAAAATAATAAAATAAATTGGTAAGTCAATCTATCTTACCTTTTTATTCGCACGTGTTAACGAGTTATGTGAACAAATTTAAGTGAATTTATTTTACAAATTTTGATGACAAAGTGACTACTTCCTACTTATAACCATTGCAATCCTGAACTAAAATTATGTGGAGTAGTTAATTTGTAAGAGAATAGAGGAAATTCTCAATAGAAAAAATAGATCACATTAAAAACAAATATAGTCATTTAATTTGTAAAAACAACTTGAAAAAAAGAAGAAGAAGTTGATGTTATTTAATAAAAAAAAAAAGATTTGAATATACATAGCTAAAATAAAATGACAACAAAGAAATATCAAATTGATTTTATTTATTTTATATTAATATATTATGAATTTGTTTTATATTTTTATTTTATGTATATGTCACTACTTAATGTAAACTTTCACATGTTACCTAAATAAATAAAAATTTCTAATGAAAAAATAAATAATAAATAAATGACAAATGAAAAAACTTTAGAATATGTTAATGAAATTGAATTAATTAAGTCAAAACCCAACTTAACCTTTTTTTTTTCAGTAAAGAAGAAAGATATTTCATACTCATAAGCAAAATATGAACAAACAATACATAAAACTATTAAAATGGTTTGAAGGATGGGTGTGTATGAAAAATTTTAAAAAATTTAAATATAAACAAAAAAAAATTGAGTCTGTATAAAATCAATTATTTTTAATTAGATTGGTTGAGCCTATTTTATAAATACATATAATTATATTTAAAGAAATATAAGTAATATTATTTTATTAATATATTTATATATGTAGATAGATTATAATTTATATATTAAATTATTTTATTAAAATTAAAATTATTTTATTAAAATTAAAATTATTTTTATTAATATAATATAATTTAGTATTTTATTTTTTAAAGGACTAAAATAATATATTGATTCTGTATAAAATTAGATAGAACTTAAAAGCATGATAAATTTAAAAATACTAGCCGAATCATACTTTGCACACATCCTCAATAATCAAATAACCCCATACAAAATCTTCACAGAAGTGATTTCAACACAAAAATATCCAAAATTTACATGTAATTCCAATGGTTGAAACCAAATTAACACAACATGGTGGAAACCAAATCAATACATTCACTCATCACAAATGTTGCTAAAGGTAAACATTAAAACCAAACACTGAAAGCACTATACATCACTAACAAACAAACCACACCATTTGAATGCAATAACGTTCGTAAAAAGAAAGAAGATAAGCAGAAACCTACCAGTATCGATGGAGAGGCATGAGTGGTTGTAGGAGAGGAATATCTTCGGTTCATGGAGACTTAGTATTGTGTTGCTTTGTGTGAGAATCAGAAAAAGAAGAGGAAAAGTGCACGGATTGTAAGAGAATTGAAAGAAGTAAATATGTGGGTATTCATGGAGGTTCAAAGAAGTTATGATTTCTGTTGAGTTTGTCATGGGTTTGTTGCGAGAAATACTGAGAGAGAGATTGAGTAGTTACATGAAAATGTGGGAAGGCCAGGACAACGAATACAACTCATGTAAAGTTTAGAATATTAATTTAATAATTAATGATATTATTATTATTATTTATACCAACTTTTCATAATAGTTCTCTTTTCATTGAAAATATCATAATTTAAAAATAGTAATTATTATAATTTTTGTATTAAAAAATTAGTAAATACATAATATAGGTAATTGATACAAAAATTTAAAAAGTAAAGAGAAAAAAATAAAATAAAAATAAATTATGTATGTGTGGTGTGTGATTATCTGGATTAGAGAATAAGAGTTTCAAAATCTTAAATTAAATTAAATTTATTTTAATACGATTTATCGAGGACATGAATTTAGGAGTTTGTTTTTAGACTTATAAACCGACTTATTTTATAGAATAATAATTTTTTAAAAAAAAATATTATTTTATTAAAATATATATATATATATATTATTTAATAAGATATTTACTTATTTTAATAATAAATTTAATAATAAATCTCTAGCAAATACTTATTTGAAAATCTATTAATTAAGATTAATTACTTTTTTAAATTAATAAATTACTAAAAAATAATTAATGATAATGAAAATAAGATTTTTATTTTTATTTGGATATTAAATAGATGTATTATTTTATAATTTATATATTAAATTATTATATCTTAAATAAAAAATAATTTTATTAATAATATTTAAATTTTAAAAATATATTTTATTTTTATTTAAATACTTTTTAATTAATTGATTTGATATCGATGTTAAATTAAAAAAAATACAATCATGTCAAAATTAGTCAGTTAATCCATTGATCTAACACAAGAGTATATTAGGCTAAACATTTTGATCCGTTTGAAAAGATAAATTAGGTTGGGTCATCAAATTTTTTAATTAACCTTATATAATCAAATCAAGCTTAAATAAACCGTTCATTTTGACAACTAGACTAAAAAGACGACAGAAAAAATTAAGTTGAGATTTGAAGACACACTCGTATATCAATGTATAATCAATTATTTGATAAGTCAATAAAAATATGATAATTGAAATACTCTAGTTTCTTTTAAAAATTAAATTTTGTATATATATATATATATAATATTTATCTTTTTAATTTTTTTAAAATTTGGGTGGTTCAAATTTTATTTATGAATTTATATTATTATTACTAACGAAAATACAAATACAGATGATAATATAAAACAACTTATTGTATTTGCACTTGTTATCCATATGGAGTATTATAAAATACCAAATCACATTGTTAAATTAGTCCAACTAAAGATGTAAACTAACTAAGATACATATTACATGTCTATGAATATGTGTCATTAAAAATATATATTGAAACAAGTTATTTAAATAGAACATTACAGAATTTTTTTATTTTTTAAGAACGTGAGGGGGCGTGATTTGTCGTTCGGTGCATGACTTGTTTTGCGGTTAGCGTGTGCGTGTTGAATGGTAAATGAGTGAAACAGTATTAAACTTAAAAGAGTTTTAAAAGAATTAAACACGACAAAGTTATATTTTAAAGAGGATAAGAAACATAATTTGGCTGAAGAGGATTGATTACATATTTTTTTAATCAATGACACAAAAAGTTTTGCCTTTAAGAAGAAAAAAGTCCCTATCATTTGCTGTAATCACTTACAAGTGAAGATAATCCCTTATGGAGTAGTTTCCAAACTTCTTTTGAAAAGTAAAATGTTCTTTTATGTGTTTGATTACAACTTCAAACTCATGCATATCATGGAAAACATCGACTACACTTGGGATAATTTAAAAGAATTTTTAAAATTTGACTTGAATAATAAGGGATAAGTAATCAATTTCATAATCAATGTAACCAATTACATGCTGAACCTGTTTAAAATCCTCCACCACAATTACTGATACTATATTTACCATGAAAGAAAGCGAAAAGAGTTCATCCAAGAAAGATCTTTATCTTTATTAATACTACCCAAGTTAAATGAAGAAAGGGAAAAGGAAAATATCCAAATATGCAATGCGCCACAGTCTATATCTAAAATACCTTTTCAAGTTAAAATTGCAAACTACAGTCAAAACAATTTGATGCCTTTTGTCTATAATCTTCCTAGTAATTAGTACAGTAGTATTTGAGGTGGCAAGAACGAACAAATAGGGAATTGTAAATCAGAAACCACTGTCCAGACTAATTTGTGGATTCTCAATGTTAATTGTTCACATAATAGGCCCTTGTTTTTTAAGAAAAGAAGAATCCACTCACGCTGGCAAATGAAGCTTTTGGTTGTTCTTCCAGCTGCATGGCATAATTTTAACATGCTTAAAACTCAGGTAAACAAGGAATTTAAAATAAATAAATGGAACTGAAAATTAGGTCAATTAACCTTTGGAAATAGTAATAGAAGAAATCAGCATAGAGCAGTGTTTGAACAAGGCCAGAAATCCATGCTGCAAAAAGACATTGAAAGGATTCAGGAAGACTTTTTGAGAACATAGTGCAATTCTATGGTAACCCCTTTTTATTTTTTATTTCTTTTTGTAGGGGCAGGGTTTAGTGTTTGGCAGGAGGGAGAAACTTGTTTATTATGTTTTTCTCATGTCTTGTGTTGCAAAAGTCATGCCAAGCAGTTAGAGCCATGTCTATAGCTGTGTTTACATGTTAAATTTCTAGCGAAAATGTTCAGTGTAATGAATATTGAACAGTTAACATAAACATTACTCTTGTACAACAAGGAAAAAGTAAAAAGAAATGCCATAACTTCTACATTTTCTTGTTCATAGTTGGTACAGGTAAATGACCAATAATCTAAGCTTCCATTTTCTATTCCTTTTAATAAAAAGTAGTATCAAAACCTGCACTGATTGATACCTATTTGATGAATCAGAAATATCAAAATTGAACATTATCTTAAACATTGAAGATGGTGCTTGAACATCATAAGCAACAATGGGATGCACCAAATCAATACTTCAAAGATCCGTGGAGCAAAAGAAACTCACTTCATGAAAATTGTTGTTTATAAAACCACAAAAAACACTCGAAGAAAATAGATTTTTTTTTATAGAAATGAAGAAAAAGTTCTTCAGTAATGGATTCTGCGCAGCAATAGGTTTGATGAACATTTTAAAAGGCTAGCATACCTATATTGTTGTTATGGTTCTTTGTATGACAAGGAAATAAACATCATAGAAAACACTACAAATGCATCTCAAGTATTGAGAATTTCAAATGAAAAGGTACCACAGGACACAGTATCATACTGAATAATGAGGAATGTAGTTACTGAATAATTATAATAATAGTAGCAGCAAAAAGTAATGGTAAGCATAAAACAAACTAAGAGAGAGTAATACTTATCCAATGAACAAAGTGGGGCTCAGTGAAGTAGCGATAGATCCAGTTGAGAATGTATAGTCCTCTGTATGCACTGCATTTAACCAGATAAGAATATTATAAACATTAATTTTATGAGTGACGGACTTCAAACAAAAAAATTGCATGAATTTAAGAAGTCATAAGAATGTTTCAAATGCATATATTATACCACATCATGAGAAAATCACAGGGACATTATATACAACTGAAATGAAGTACTGAAACAAATGACAAGATTCATGGAAACACATTCACCAATAAAAACTTAGTTCTCGCAGGTATTAAAACTTTGAAGTCTTAACTCATGGTCATAATAGAAGACCAAATTCATCACACATTTATAATGAAGCCAATGGACAGGTTGGCCCAGGAACACTATTGCAAACTAATAATTTTATCTACTCCTTCTGTTTATCTGCATCAGCTCTACCTACGTGAGTTGAAACACTGTTTTGGAAATTGTATCATACATCAGATGAAATCCTACAATGCTCCCAAAATGAATCAACATTTAAGAGTGTTACTGATTATAATGATCAAAAGGTGAAACTCCTTTAGCAAATACAAGCTGCTAATTCCGTTTACAACACAAATGCAATGACATGAACCACAGGAATGATGGAAATATATAATCTTGTTCAAAATTGGATAAAGCACAGTATCTTACCCAAGAAGAAACACATATTGTCCAGTCAAATTGTCAATATTTCTAGTTCTCTGCAAAAGTACTAGTTGAGGAAGTATAGCAACAGCTTCCAAATACAGGGAAAATGTCCACATCACCTATTCCATGTATAAGTGTATTTTCAGAAAGTAAGTGAAAGTCACACAATCAGCTCTTGAAAACAAGAGGACATGTAAATAGTAACATAACAGTTACCATAGTATAGACAACACATAACAGCAGAGGCATACTAACCTCCTTAAATGTGAATTTCTCATTAATTAATAGGGCCAATACTAAGCAGGGCAATACAAGAAAGTAATGGCGAAAGGTATCTTGATCTTTGTCATATGATCTACGAACAACCTTGTGATATCTCATGTACCACACAATAGAAAATGAGCTTCCCAAGAATATTAACTTCATAATGGTATTGTAGAGAGATACATAATTAGTAAAGATATCTAAGTAGCGACAAGCAAAAACGAGTGCATAGAGTTCTTGAGTCTTCAATGAGACACCTGCACACAGATAAGATGCACCCAAAGTCAGAGTAAAAAAGATATATATGAAAGGTATTTTAAAAACTAAACCACAGTCAATGGCCTGAATATTCAAAATGAAAAATCACAGTTAATTTAATTAGGTCTATACTGCTTTAATGAATAGGCCTTTTAGCACATTTTTATTACCTTTTTCTTAATCTGGTAATGGATAAACTAGTTTTTTATCTTCTCTTAGAAACACCAGCATAGGAGGGAAAAACACATATTGATGCAGCACAAAAGAAGATTTTTATACATGTTAGGCTCTAGTTTAGCCTATCAATAGCTCTTTAGCATAACATAAATACAAACAGTAAGCAGGCAAACACATAATTTTGATTGGCCAGAATCAAGATGATTCCTTACATATTAAAATATGTATAATAGTTACGGAATAGAAAAATATGATCCAAAAAAACAAGGCACCACAAACTCGCCCAATCATAAAAGACACCAAGGAATCCAACAAGAGGGGAACCAGTAAATTGAAAACTATTGTATCAAAATGATCCAACTGACAATAACAATCCTAACAAATGTTGGCATTTCTCTCGGCAAAGATTTGGACCATAATTCAACACATTGTAGGGGACTAGGTCAAGTCCCCAGGTAGATATCCTTCTCTCATAGCAATTCTATTCACCACACTTTCAGACACTAAATGTGAACATTTCTCCCTAGCCAATTTTGATCCTAAATTCAGAAAGTTAAGGGGGACTAACCCAAGTCCTCAAATGAAAAAGGAACTAAATGTATCATTCTGTAACATTCCAATGAAAAGAAAAAGAATTACATAATTCCACAAATAATATTTCCAATCCTACAATCATCAATTCAAAACTTTATCTCCAAATTCCTTGTCAACCCACAGGAATTCCGAACATTCTCATCCCCAAGATAATTGCAACGAAAACATAACAGTAACGCATAAAATCACACAAATCCACGTAAAAATATTGCACTTTTGAGCAAATTATATTCCAAATCTAAGTAGCCCTAAGTGAAAGGAAACAGAGGGAGAATGTTGAGATAGGAGACAGGGTGGATACAGACCTGCGCAGGACTTGATGGTATGGATCTTGAGGAGGAGGACCAGGACGCTGGCCAAATGGGTCATGTCCCCAGCTAACCTGAAAATATTCATGTTTGTTTAGATCGGATCTGTGACGGGTCGACCCGGATCTTTGTCCTGAACAATCGGTTTCAGGCGGTGGTGCGCAGCGCGACTAAGGGTGGTGTATGTGGCTGTGCATACAAGCAGAAAAGAAGAGTTCAGAACATGTATGTCTTTTGCAAGAGAATCACTTTTACTCTTGGTTCCTTTCTCTTTTATTTTTATTTTATTTTTATTTGATGAGTTTGACTATATTTTCAACTTTGTGTTATGATTAAACATGTGTTAAATTAGTTTTAATCTATGTAAAATATAGTTTTTTTTTATCATCACACTTTTTTAATTTATTTTATATTTAATTTAGGTTTAGAAATAAAAACATTAATTAAGAGTACTAATGTAATTTTAAATTAAAATAATTAAATTAATTTTAGGTTATAATTAATTTAAATATTACAAACATTTTTTTATTTTTAATATTTTATCCTTTTTTTATTCAATGATATACTTTCTGTTCTTATATTATAAAAATTATAATTTAATTTAATTCAATACATTATTTTATTTTATAATTATAATTTAAGTAATTGTAATATAATTTAATTTTCACGTATCAGAAATACTGATTCTTGAAAACATAAATAGTAAAATTATTGAGTATATTTTTTTAAAATTATTGATTATGATATACTAAAAAATAATGTATAATATAAAATAACAGATGTTACTCTTCTATTTATTCTTACTTGAAGGGTTGAAATATATAGATAATATGTAATGTTTTTTTTTATTAATTCTTGTGTATCTAAAAAAATTATATATATATATATATATATATATATATATTAAAAATTATTATGTAACATACAAAAATATATAATTATCTTTTTAAATTATTTTTTAAAAGTAATAAATATTTGGAATAGGTATATACAAATTGTATTTTATAATACATTAAAATTAAAATAATTATTAAATATATATAATTATCTTATTCATAGGAATAATGCATACAAATAATTTTATTATGCCAATTTAAATTTATTTTATTATCTAAATTATTTAAAATAAATATGTGTAAATTAGTTTGATAAACACTAAAGGAAAATACTAAAACTAAATTATTTAAACTCATTTTATTATCTTATTATTTTTAATCTTTTTCCTACAAAATTTTTTTATTTAAAAATAATTTTAAAAAATAAGTTAATTATTCTCTTCAATTCTAAAGAACTTTATACAATGGTATTTAAAATTGAATTTTTTTACAGTAGTACGTATTCGTTTTTTAATTATTTAAATAGCATAATGTATGTTTTATTTACCTAAATAACACAATTTTATTTATCCGGAAAATCGAATTCTCAACTTAACAAAAACTGTGCTATCTAGGTAAATAAAACCTACACTATGCTATTTGAGTAATTAAAAAATAAAAACGTGCTACTGTAGACAAAATTTCGTTTAAAATTATACGCTCACAACTACAAAATCAATTATTTTATCAAAATAAATTAAAATATCAAAAAATAATGATTTTATCAAAACAAAATAGTTAAATAATAAAGAAAATTAAATTATAAATAATCCAAAAATGTTACATATTTAATTTCTTAAATTTAAAATTCATGTAAACAAATATAGGTTTGTATTCTTGGATTTTTCGGTTTAGTACAACCACCATTGTAATAATTTGAAAGCAAAATCTTTTTTAATCTATCTATCTATATTTTATAAAATAATTTATAGAATAGTAGAATTCACTGTGGTCTGATAAATTTTTAGAGCATAACTGATAAGAAATTTTAGAAAATAATAGTTAATACAAATTTTCATTAAAATTTCATGAAAAAAAGAGTTATGATATTTCAAATTGATGATAACATCTATAACTCTGGATTTTTAACAAAAATTATTTTGGATTTTATTTAGGCAAATTGTAACCTGCCTATGTATTTTCATAGAACAGTCACATCTTCCTTGATTATAATAATAAATTTCATGTTTAGAATTTTGGGGTTTAAGACAAAATTATTAAAATATTTAATCTATTATTAATCCTAATTTTTATATTAATAATTTCTTGGCGAGAAAAGTTTCATTTTACAATTATGACTTAAATTGCTATCCTCTTACTTTATTTGTCAAATGCAACAATATTGAACTAAAAGAATTGTAATGATTTTAATTTGCTTTAGATTAATTAAGTTGTATTTGTTTATTTGTTGCAATTCATATAAATTGTGTGTAATATTAGTTCATTGCAAGGATTTTAAGATTCTAATCCTAGTTTGACTTTGTTTTAGATTAAGTAGTGTATGTTTGTTTAAATTGTTGTGTAATATTAATTTATAGACATTGAATTTGAAGTTTCATAATATTTTTGGATGAAATTTTTTATTAAAAAATGAAAAAAAATATCTATAAGATAAATTTGTTTTATATATAAACTAATTTAAAAATTATATCATATTATTTTATCTAAATTTATATTTTTAATGAGTTCGTTTTAACTAATATAAACATACTATTTTATTTTTTATTTCATTTTTCATCTCCTAAAAATAATTATAAAGTAAAGGAATACGATAAATATATAATTATGAGTGTACAAAAATAAATGTTGAATTATTTTCTTTTTTTTTTTATATTTTGATAGAATCATCTAAACATGATTTTTTATTTTTTTTATAAAAAAATATAAGAAAATCACACATATTTTTATATTAGTTCATCTATATAATTAACTATTTTGCCAATACACCAAATCTTACTAATTCAAAGTATACAATGAATTTTTTTTCTTTTTTAAGTGACTACTCGTTTATCTCAAGTTTTTTTTTCCAAACAATATCCTTTAAGTTGAGTTATAAAAAGTAAGTAAAAAAATTATTTATTCAAAATAAATTTTAAAAAATTATAAAAATATTTTTTTGATAAATGCTAATATTGCAAAATAAAAAATATTATATTTTTAAAATTATTTTATGGATATATGAAGACTTAAATAAATAAATGGTCTCAATAATATATTTAGTTTATAATGTTAATTTTTTATTATTATTTCTTAATTATTATGACTTAAAATGAGTGACAATTGTCACAGAGATAAACTTGACATCCGAATAAACTTAAATAATTTTGTTAAGAGTATAAATTCATACAAAATCAAAGTTGATTCAAAGTCTTGTTATAATTTGAGATAAAATTAATTCAAAAATAAAACTAAATAAATTTTATGAGAAAGTATGGACTCATACAAAATTAGAGTTAGTTTAAAGTTTCGGTCAAACTTTAAAATAAATTTGACTTATGAATATAACTAAATTATTTTTAGGAAGTATAATCCATATAAAATCAAAGTTTGTTTAGATCCTAATCATAATTTGAGATAACATTAAAGAAAGAATAAAAATTAAATAAATTTAACGAGAAAAGAATGAACTCGTACAAAGTTATAATCACTTTAGAGAATAAGGCAGAGGTAGTACATGTTCTAATGATGAATTATAATTTGAATAACTGAATCCATTAGTCATTAATCTTCTTATATCTCATATATATATATATATATATATATATATATATATATATATATATATATATATATATATATATATATATATATATATATATATATATATATATATATATATATATATATATACACCTACATAAAAATTATGTGCATTTTCATATAATTTTTAAGTTTATCAACCATTGTAATTGTTTTAATTCTATTATTTTCTTATGATATTTAAAATTTAGACAATTACAATTTTAACTTAAAAGTAAATATAATTTTTTTTATTTAAAGTAAATTAAAAAAGTTATAAAAATAATTTTTTTGGATAAATGATATAATAGTTTAAAATAAATATAAAAATATTTAATTTTTAAAATTATTTTATGGCTACATTAAGATTTAAATAAATAAATGATCTCAATAATGTATTTTATGGAAATTATGTATTTTTATAATCTATATAGAGTGAGACTCTATTAAGAATCATGATCACAAATTAAGAGAATTTGATGTGTGAGTAAAAGTAAATAAATTTTTCTAGGAAGTATAAATCCATACAAAATCAAAATTAGTTCGGAGCCTCATCACACATTGATTATATAATTGATATAAGAATAAAAAATAAATAAATTTTACTTGAAAGTATAGATAAAATTAGAATCATGCATTAGAGCAAGTTATTACTATTTATTTTTTTATCAATTTGATAAAAAATATTCACACATGAAAGATGTGAATCAAATCAATTCAAAGTTGAAGAAAAGATGAAATATTTATTAATAAAATTATTTATTTCATCATAATATGATAAAACCCTTCAAGAACTTATCAATCGGATGAGAATAAAGATAGAGTTATATTCTACGTGTCAATACCAACAACAATTAAATTTAAAGTAAGAAGAAAATCCGTCGACTTAAGAAATCATGAGGGTTTAAGTCCCTCTATTTCCAAAAAGGTCTGTTTCATTTTCTAATTTTTTTCTTATATCCTCTCTATCTTTAAGTTGTTATTTATGTGTGTTTATTCGATTTATTCTTTCTCAACGAAATTGGAATTTTTCTTTTTCATTTTCATAATTTTCTTATATATCATAATTCCAAGTCACAAGTTTTGGAATAAATATATATAGATAGGTGAAACACATAGAATTTTTTTTACTATTCCATTCCAAAAAGATAAAAAAATTTTAAACAATTGAAATTTTTTGGAGATTGGATACAATTACTAATTCATGATCTGACATGTACAAAATGAAAACTTCATTCTCGATTCTACAGGAATTCTTATGAAAGTCTTTCATTTACTTCTCTTCGATGGAACTTTTGACATATGAATAAAATTATTTTTTTTAAGTATAAATTCATATAAAGTTAAAGTTAATTCAAAGTTTTGTCACAAATTAAGATAAAACATATGTAATAATAAAAATTAAAAAAATTGTAGGAAAAAATTTGGACTTATTCAAAGTTACAATTATTTAAGAGTCTTTGTCACAAATTGAGATACATTTGTCATATAAATAAAATATTATTTTTCTTAAAAATATAAATCCATATAAAGTCTAAAGTGGTTTAGTTTCTAGACACATTGATGTAAAAATAAAAAACTAAATAAATCTGTAACAATTAAGAATAAATTTAGAATTTGATATAAATTTGACATCTGAATAAAACTATTTTTTTTAAGTCAAAACTTATAAAAGTTAAAGTTTATTTAGAGTATAGTCAAAATTTAAGATAAAATTGATGTAAAAATAAAAATCAAATAAATTTGATAAAAATGTATATATTTATACAAAATTAGGGTTAGTTTAGAGTTTTGATAAATAAATTTCATAAATATTTTTTGAGAGAGTATAAATGCAAATAAAGTCAAAACTGATTTGAATTTTGGTCATAATTTGAAATATAATTGATATAAAAAAAAACTAAATAAAAACATGAACTCAAGAAATTTGAGTCACTTTATAATCATGGTCATAATTTAATTGTTTATTATATTTGAAAGCAGTTTTCAGTTTAAAACTAAAAAAAACTTATTTAATAAGTATCTTGTTAAACGAAAATTTGAAATCCGTTTTTTAGTTTTTAAAAACTAACTAAAATAAAACTGATAAAAAGTGTTTTATAATTTAACGCGTATCAATATTTATTCAATGATTACATCAAATAACTCATTTTAATATTAGTATAAAATTAAGTTAATTTTTCAACTTTTACACCACTTTTTATGGCATATATTTTTTTTATGTTTTTCATTTAAAATAATTTCAAAAATGAAGAATCAAACTTTTTTTTCAAACTTATTTAAAAAAAATAATTTTTCAAAAATAACTTATTTTAAAAACTAATAAATAAAACTAAATCAACTACGCCCCAAAAATTAACAAGTATAGAAATGAACAAGTAGATGTAATATTCAAAGATTTTGACATTGTTTTGTTGTTTAATTTAAATTAAATTTTGTATTGCTCTAATTATATTAATAGGTGGGATAATTTAAATATATATTTTTCTTATAATTATTATAATAAGATTTTAAAATTACATTTAACAAAACCCTAATTTTTTGTTATAGAATTCATTGATAATATTTTCAAAATAAATAAAAAAATATTTTTATTTTTAATCAAAGTATAAAAATCCAATATAATTCATATGTTTGGATCTCATCTAACGAATGTTGAAATAAATTAATAAATAAAGAATAATTTCTGTATTAATTATATTTTATTGTGATTATCTTATTCAATCTTTTACAGTAAATAGCATTCTCAATCTAATAAAGCAACATGATTTGAAATATTATTTTGTAAGTTGGCATTTTTATTCATTTCATTTAAAATAAGTTGGCATTTTTATTCATTTCATTTGAAAAAATTAGTTCATTCGTCATTTTTTTTTAATATTTATATATTCTGAAATTAAATAGTAAAAAATCTGATTTTTTTTCACATATAATAATGTAATAATAATAATAACCACATTGTTTAATTGAAAAAAAAAAAAACCAAATTCCCATATTTTAGGATATTGATTTGGTGGGAGACAAGGTGAGGTTGCGTGTCCACGCAGCAGAGACCTGTAAACGAGACAAAATTAGTTTTCTTATTCTTCCATCGAAACCGAAGTGCAGAATTAAACTATGGAAATGGAAGGAAGATTGGTTTAAATAGAGTAATGGCTAGAGTGGGTCCCAGTGAGTAAAAGCACACTTGCCATATCTTGTGAGGTCGTGTTCGCGTGGACCCCTCTTGTTCCTCCCCACCTTCCCTTCTTGGATTATGTGGTTAGATATTCTTAAAGTTTTAAGTACATCAATAAATCATAAATACTATACCCTACAAAATAATAGTAATAATATATAATATAATAACCAAACCAAAAAAATGGAAAACAAGACAGGACGACAAAACAGCACTAAAGAGTATATATACACACTTATGTTGTGAGGAAGGGTAGTATCTCTTGGGTTCATTTGTTATATTATTTTGCATCTCATGCAGCAGCCTGTTGAAATTCTCTGTAACGGTTATCTTTGTGAAGGGGAGAGGAGAAAGGATACTGATCAGTGACTGCTGTTTTTTTGGTGGAATTGCTACTTCTGAAATGGATTACAGCAATGACAAGTATAAATATTTCTCAGCCCTTTTCTTTATCTCCTTTGTTTTTTCTTTTTCTTTTTCTGGGTCTGTCTCTTCTGTTGGGAAAGCCACGCCTTTGGGAACTGCATTTGGTTTTCACCATGCACTTTCATGCTCTTCAATTTTTTGTTCTGTGTTTTTATTTGGGACATGAAATTGGTTCCCATCAGGTTTTGCTTGTGATAAGTGTTTTTCTAGTTTGTTGGTCCGTCCGTGTATGGGGGTTGTTGACAATTGTTTCACTTTTGTTCTGTACTTTTTATCTGTAAACTTTGGTCGGTTTAGTAGTTTTATGCTTTTGTTTTTTATTTGCTCTTGAGATGGTCGATTCATGTTAGATTTTGTGGATAGAGGGAGGATGATGGTGTGATGATGTTGGCGGGTCATCCTAATTTCTCCCTCTTTCAATTTCTTTATCTGGTTTTTTTATTTTGTTTTTATGGCCCTTTTCTCTTCCTTTGCCCTGATTTATGCAGTAATTAATGGTTCTGTCCCTTTTTATTTGTGTGGTGGTTTGGTTAGTAACTTGTGCTGCAATGTACTTGTGTTGTTGATTTGGTCCTTCTTCTTTCTCTATGTACTTTTGGTTGGCTTGTTTATGGTTGAAATCATGATGTCTATAATGTATCCTTTGAGATTCTTTCGAAATGGTTTTTGGATTGGCTTCTTGCGTGAGTTTTGCTCCTTTTTCATTGTTTCATCATAATCATTTGCTTTTTGCTTCATGTTAAATGGTGCTAGGGAGCCATGGGATTGGCATAGGGAGGACTATTGTCTCCAGAAGAGTTTCAGTTATGGTAAGTCTGATTTGTTGTTGTAAGTTAAATTAATCTAAATAATTGATGCCTGAGAAAGTTTTCTTGTTAGAGCAGAAATTTCCCAAGGACTGTGGAATGAGGTTCCTCAAAATGAAGATCTGTCCTGTGTGTTCAATGATGAAGCAACACCAGTGAAGGCATGTGGGGATGTTGCATACAATGTCAATTATAGTGGTAAGGAACTTCTATCTGGCAGGCAGTTAGATGTTGTCTGACAATCAATAAGTGCAAAATGGATATATAGTTCTTTTTCATTTCTATTTTTGAGGGTGGCAGACTTGACAAAAATGGTACCTTGTGATCTGGAGGTCACCATTTTATATCCTCCAACCAAATTCTAGCTCTGCTTGTAGGGATATAGCTGTATGCATGTACCTTGCTCAGGTTCCACCAGGTGGAGCTTCATGTGTTGGGTTGCCTTTCATTTCTATTAATATTGCTACTCCTGCTATCCCTTTTTGTATGCAATGTTGTCCTTTTTAACTCAACTATGGTGGTTTTCAGAGTCAAATAATCTGGAAAAGGAACCAAACAATTGCTTGAAGACTTATCAATTTAAGAGACGGCGGATGCTACAATTCAGTACTCAAGATGGGGGTCATTCCCCCTCCAATGAACAAATGTCTTCAGCATATTTGAAAGTAAAGGTCGGTGCTTGTTTGTAGCTTTTACCTTGAGTGATTTTTCAAACCCATGGTAGCATAATGGGTCAAGCCACATGAGAAAAAATAAAAATCAAAGCACATATACACTTTAATTTGAGCAAATAAATATGTTGCTGAAATATATTCCACATGATATAGCTTTCTAGGGTAGGAATATATATTTTGCCGTAAGGTACCTGAAATTTGTTTAACTTTTACTTGTTCTTTTTGCAAGATTCTCTTTTCTGATATTAGATTTCATAATTATGCTTTGTGAAGTGATTAGTTCAGCCATATTTGTATACAACCTTATATCACTTTATCTGTGAAGTAGAACTTAATTAATTGTCTCATCTACAAGTTTACTGTAGCCATTTGACGTCTTCCCATAATAGAACCCTGTTTTAACTTGAACTGCTGTGATGACTGTTAAAATATGACAATGAGATGTTTGGATTAGTTCTCTGTTGTTGTGACTGTCTTAAGTGTACATGTATAATCTGGTTTTCTTGTTTTGAGTTGATCAACAATCTTGTTTCTGTCCTTCAAGACTTCATGATTTGCAATGCAGATAGTCGGCACTGGAGACTATAGCTCAAGGATATCGATTTTTTCTATTTTGTGATTGGTTTAAGTGTGTCCAATTTCAGTAAGATGTTGAGTTAATAATTGTGTCAGAGTTGTTGTTTTGCCAGATTGTGTAACTGTTACATTATGTATGTAGGGGAAGGAGAATCCAAATGAGGAAATTTTTTCAGACCTACCACAATGGGTATCTGGGGCATCAGGTTTACCTTTTGTGCAAATTAGGCTTTTGTATTTTTTTGTCCTTTTAGATGGATTTGATATCTTTAACCAATTCTAATGAAACATGCATTAGGAAGTGCTTCTTCTTCCAATTATGAAGACCTTGAGTCAGCTGAAGCGTGGCTAGCAGATTGCTTTACGGATGCTGAAATGCAATTATGTCCTGATGATTTGTATGCTTCTAAAGACCACCACTAATATATGCCTGACATATCTCTGTTTATACAAAATATCTGATGATTATGTTATTTGACTCAGGAACTTTTCTGGGGCTGATGATGTTCATATAGATGTTGCAGGTATACCACACTACCTGCCATTCTCTCTAATCTTCCTATTTCTTCCTTCTTTACTCTTTCTTCTACACATTGACTTGTCTGAAAAACTTTATATACTACTGTAGATCTGTGCAACCTCCAACCTTTGCGTGAACAAAATGTGGTTCGAACCCCCAAAAATGTTGTCTTCAAAGGTTTGTTTTGGTTTTATTTTGATATAGTCTTTTTACTTTTTAATTGTACTGGATATGTTTCTAATATCTCATCTGCGAATATCATCCAAGTTGCTAGGAGATAAGCTCTGTTTGAATAAACTTCTACAAAACACTTTTATTAAAAGAAAATAAGGAGGAAAAATAAAATAAATTTCTGCATAAGCTAATGTAAACTTATGTCATGAAATTTTTTGACATGAAATCAAATTCTGACTTTCTTTAACATGTATAGGTGGGAAATCATTTATAGAAACACCCTCAAAGCTAGCTGTTTCTGTGGCCTATCCATTTGCCTTCATCAAACCCAGTGGTGCCCATGGAGATGTCACTCTGAAGGAAATAAATCAGCGTATTCTGTCTCCACCTCCTCTGGAATCCAAACTAACTGTGGAAGATCCTTCAACTTACCCAAAATCAGCCTTTTCTGGGAAGCCCGTTGTTGGAAAAACCAAAATTCAAATTGAAGGGGGAAAAGGTAGCATCACAATTATGAGAACCAAAGGCTAAGACTAAGTATTTAGTGTACTAACCTTTGCATTGGGTTTGGCTTCATTTTATGTATGTAAAATACCTGGTAATTTAATAGTTGGTATTGCATTATTTTATTCCATGATAACACACCTTAGTGTTTTATCCTAGTTGAGGATATAGATGACTGTGTGGCTTCTCTCTTGGTAGATGAGCAGAATCTGCAATGAGAATTTTGATCAATGCTGTATCCTATATTATGATATAACAATGTGTATAAACCTAGTTGGTTTAACATTTTTATCAGTGCTTGTAAATATGAAGAATTTCAGTTTTAGTCCCTACCATTTTCTTATATTTTAGTTCTCATAAATTTTGTTTTGAAAACACTTCCTATTGACAATTATCAATGGCGTGATATGCATCTAAATATGTCTGTTATGTCATTGGAATAACAGAAAATGAATAAATTGATGAGGATCAACTGTGTATATTTCAAACTAATTATGTAGTTATATAATGCACAGATCAAACCTAGATGATCCCTTGGATATAAAGAGATTGATGTGTAACTAAAGCATGTAACTCTATTGGGTTGTTTTACTCATACATGATATACGTAAAGTTGCTTTAGCTCATAAAAAAACTAATGTAACTATTTTTAGAACGTGACTCTTAATATATTTGTTCAAACATCAGTGCTATATCTCAAAACTTCGTTGTACCTATAGTTGTAACCTCAGAATTTGAAATGAAGTTGTTGGCACTTGTAAACTTGCTATAATTTACTAAAATTGTTCTCTCACCATAAAAAAATGTGAACAATTAAAAGAGTAGACAAAAACAAAAATGATCGAAAGAGCTTGAAGTTGAAGAAGATCCATGAAACTTGAATGCTAGGAAGGCACATAGTGGTCAAATGAGAATAGAATAGACGACAACACGTGATCACCGAACCAACAAAACAACAAATATTGCCTCTCAAGTGTTGCAGAATTGGGGGTTATAAGGTTGATTGGTGGTAAAAGGAACCGTGACCGGAGATATAAGATAGGTTCGTCCAATTTCCTGCTAATAAAAATTTACAAATTAACAACTAATATTTGTCGATTTTTTTTTGGTAAAATTATATTTTCTTCATTTTGAGTATAATTCTCTCTCTCTCTCTCTCTATATATATATATATATATATATATATATATATATATATATATATATATATATATATATATATGTATGTATAACTTACTGTAAGGATTACTTCCCCCAATCCCAATCCCAATCCACACGAAGTGAAAATTATTATTTTTAATATATATAAAAGGATAAATGAGGATGTTCCTCTTTAAATAGATTACATGTACATCGTTTTGACTGGATGGTAAAAATGAGTACCAGCCCAGTTCGAAATCTTTTTGTAAAAATAGTAATTGTCCACTATCTGATTCTATATTTTTTAACTTTTCATAATGCTTTGTTTAATAAGATCTTATTTACTTAATAGAATAAATTTATTTACAGTTTTTTAAAATTAAATTTATTTTCACATTTCTAATTTTGATATATATTTTTTAATATTTACAATAGTCGTCTTTAATACAGGTGTAATGCTTCTTGATAAATGTAAGTGTCACTAGATAGATTTGAGTTGAGTGACCATTTTTAGTGTAATTAAATATAAACTTATTCGATTGAGTTACAAATTAAGATATAAATATTTAGTTTTTGTAATAATGCTTTTACTCATTCAGATTTAATATCATAGACACTAACCATGCATAGACCGTAGTGGTGAAGAAGTTAAGGTCACAAGAAAAAAAAGGTGGAATAGATAATGGAGAATCTAACAAACAAGACAACAAAGATAGTGTAATGCAATAAGGAAATAAAATAAAGACGAAAACGAGGACCTGAAAACAGAAAGAAAACCTATATTTAAATCCAATTATAAAGAGATAGCATTTTTTTTAACTTTATATATATATATATATATATATATATATATATATATATATATATATATATATATATATATATATATATATATAAATGCCAGTCTTAGCAAATATTCTGCACTGCACGGTCACTCTGTCACATGATGAGAAGCGCTTCACGTCCAGTTTGGAGATATTCCGCACTCACTACCTTCTCACACTTTCCCACGCATAACAATCACTTCAAATATTAACCCATTCGTTCTAGCGAATAGAAACTCGTCTCGGCTTTGGATTCTCCAATGTCGACAATTGCTTTTTCATTTTTTCAATTCCTTCGCGCTTTTCTTCTGCTGCTGTATCTGCTTCCAGGTTTCGCTCACTGTCACGTTCCCTCCACCCTCGAAGGCCCCTTTCATCCCGTCACCGTTCCGTTCGACCGTGCCTTGCGCGGAAACGCCATAGACTTGCCGCCCTCCGATCCCCGCGTTCGCCGCCGCGCCCGGGGTTTTGAGCCCGAACAGATCTCACTGTCTCTATCTTCCACCCATGACTCTGTTTGGATCTCGTGGATTACAGGTATCTCGAGTTAGACTTTATACAGTAAAGTCAGTATGGTTTAAATTATGATAAACGAGGAAATTCAGGGACGAATTTGACCTCCACCACAGTTGAAAGCAGTTCCTGATTGCGACTAAAATTGATTTTAAGAGTGTAATTTATGTTTGAATGTTTTGACTCTAAAAGAAGTTGGTAGTGAAGTTGAGTATAAATTTATTTTATCCAATTGAAAAGCTATCTAAATTAGTTTAACCTCGAAATCAGTTCAGAAGTTAGAATCATTTTATACGTAGAATTTAACATCTGATTTTTCATCTAAAATCATGTTAGCTGGTATCTTTGTGTGATTTTGAAACACGCAACGTGAACTTAAATCCCACTTATAATATGTTAATTGAACATGAATTAATTGGGTTTGGATATTTTTAATCCACGGGTGATGGTTTGCTTTGATGGTGATATGATAATGCCAGGGGAGTTTCAAATTGGTTTCGACGTCAAGCCTTTAGACCCTAACACTGTCTCAAGTGTTGTTCAATATGGATCTTCACGATTTGATTTAGTTCGTGAAGCTAGAGGTCAATCTCTCATCTACAACCAGCTCTATCCTTTCGATGGCCTTCGGAATTACACTTCTGGAATCATCCATCATGTTCGACTAACAGGTGATATTTCCCCCCCTTTCTTTCCCAAAAAGAGTTAAATTTTAAAAACTGCTCCAAATCAATATTTCCATTTCACTGTTTAAGTTTCATGTCAAATTATAATAATGTGTTGTCTATTCGCCTTGTGTAATATGTCATTGAAATAACAATTGTTCTTGAACTATAGTTGATATTGTATGCAAGTTTTTCGTGTTACTTTTTTACTTAAATACAATACAACTACTATTTGTTCCTGTAATTTTTACTGGACGTGTAGGATTGGAACCAAGCACATTGTACTATTATCGATGTGGAGATCCCTCTTTACAAGCCATAAGTGATGTATACTATTTCAGGACCATGCCAATTTCTGGTCCACAGAGTTACCCAGGCAAAGTAGCTATAGTAGGAGATCTTGGTCTCACTTATAATACCACTACTACCATAGGTCACCTGACTAATAATGAACCTGATCTTCTTCTATTGATTGGTGATGTAACCTACGCGAATCAGTATCTCACAAATGGAACTGGCTCTGACTGTTATACATGCTCGTTTCCACAAAGTCCTATACATGAAACTTTCCAGCCTCGATGGGACTATTGGGGAAGGTATGTGGATAAACTATGTAACTTCTACAGAATAGTTAAAGGCTGACAAAAGAGCACCGTGACATTATATTGATATTATATCTTCTTATGCTACTATAACCGAATAATTTCAGGTTTATGCAGAATCTAGTTTCTAAAGTTCCAATAATGGTGGTAGAAGGTAATCATGAAATAGAAGAACAGGCTGATTGCAGGACATTTGTATCCTACAGTTCTAGGTTTGCATTCCCCTCTGAAGAAAGTGGATCTTCATCCACATTGTACTATTCTTTCAATGCTGGGGGCATTCATTTTATCATGCTTGGGGCTTATATTAATTATGATAAAACAGGTATTTCTACCCCTTTACACAGTGCTGTCATTTTACTTCAACTGAACTATTTTGATATTACTTTCGTAGGAGGCCCTTTCATAGAAAGGGACAACCAAATACCAGATGAGTAACACCCTACCCAAACACTAATCATCTTGAAAAGCTAACTATGAGGAGATTGAATCAAAAGAAGCCTAACACATGGTCTAAATTTTGAAAGAGCAGCAATGCGATTTTGTTATTACAAGTGACAACCAAAATGAAAAAGGAGAAGATATAATATAATGTAGAAATGTAGACAAGTTAATTATCAGTTATACTGGATAGAACGATTAAATGGGTCTTGAATGTGTTTAAAATTTGCTTTGTAATCAATTCAAGTGTAGTTGACTTTGTTTTTCCCCCCTCTTGTTATCTGAGATGGTTATTGCTATGGCAGCTGAACAATACAAGTGGCTGGAGAGAGATTTGGCAAGTGTTGATAGATCAATAACTCCCTGGCTTATAGCAACTTGGCATCCACCGTGGTATAGTTCATACGAAGCCCATTACAGAGAAGCAGAGTGCATGAGGGTGGAGATGGAAGACTTGCTATACTCGTACGGCGTGGATATAGTATTTAATGGACATGTGAGTCATCCTAAGTCCAAATAAACTAAATGATAATAATCAATATTGGTTTGTTCTATTACATCGTAAAACCTCAGCTGTGTTAGTATTGCAGCATATAAACGAAAGAAATATGAATACCATGGTATTCAAATGATTGACTTACTTTATTTGTTCACCACAGGCATGTAATTAAGAAGTTAACAATAACGCATATATGCACATGCATTTAGTCAAACTTTTATGATTTAGGTCTAAGCTTGCGCTTTTTACTTTAATTGAATAACAGGTTCATGCTTATGAGAGGTCCAATCGGGTATACAATTACAGTTTAGATCCATGTGGTCCTGTCCATATTGCAGTTGGGGATGGGGGTAATAGAGAGAAGATGGCAATCAACTTTGCAGACGAGCCTGGTCATTGTCCTGATCCACTAAGTACTCCTGATCCTTATATGGGTGGCTTTTGTGCAACAAGTTTTACGTTTGGTCCAGAGAGTAAGTTTTGTTGGGATCACCAGCCAGATTACAGTGCTTTCAGGGAAACTAGCTTTGGCTATGGGATTCTAGAGGTAACATTCCTTTCCTATCCCACCCCAAGAATGGTGCTAGAAATGTCATTTATATCCAATAAATCCATATACTAGTAATTTTGCCTACTTAACATTAATTAACTGGTTTGTTAAACATATAAAACTCTGTTATATTATGTTAGGTCCTGATGCTATGAATAAATTGTTGCCTTACACTTGAATGCTGCTGTGTTAAAATTGGGTAGCTCTTCTGTGAAAGCACACTCACAATCATTGATCAGATGATCAACTGTTAGGTACTGTGATAAATCAATTTGACGATACAAATTTTAAGTTAATTACAATATCAACAATTGATATTTAATTAATGGTTATTGTTATACTTTATCGTCTAAGGTGCACTTCTCCCTCTTTAGAGGAGCCAAATAGTTGTAAAATATTTTTAAATTTTTAATGACTTCTGAGGGCAATTTGCGCTACTGGCTTAGGGAACCTCAAATTGGCTGAACAAAGTATCAGAACTTTCACTCACATCACATCTGGTATGTTTCAATGTGTAATGCAGGTGAAAAATGAAACGTGGGCTTTGTGGAGTTGGTATCGTAATCAGGACTCCTACAAGGAAGTAGGGGATCAAATTTACATAGTGAGACAACCTGATTTATGTCCTGTCCCTCAGAGGGTGTGCAGAGATTATATTGCTTCGTTTTAAGAGAATGAGGAGCAGTAGATTTGCTGTCATTGATGAATATGTCACAACTGTTGAATATAAATCTCCGAGGAAACCACACAGTGGGTTGAGTTGAGTAGGCATACAATCTATCATCCATTAAGATGTAAATGCTACTTACCACTAGTACCCAACATTACAGTAAACCCTGTTGTTAGGTAACGATCAATCTACAGAATGTGTAACAAAAATAATGTAAATTCTCAGTATTTAGCTAAAATGATAATGAAAAATGTGCAGTTCCTTGATGTAATAGCGTTTCAATATCATGCTGCTAACACACAATGTGCTCTGTTTAAATGCAATGCTATAGTTAAATTTGAATTAGAACTTCTTGAGTTACTTCTATTGGTTATTCTTCTTTATGGTAAATTATTTAAATTGCGGAAGTATTTCTTTCCATCTCAAGGAAGAAAAAACAAAATGGGCAAGGACTCACGAGAGGAAAAATTTGATCCAGTGAAACACCATAACGATAAGAAAACTTCATCTTTATGCATGGGAAAGAAGTAAGAAGCAAGAAGTAAGATCAATCCCTGCACTGCTATTCACATTGTGTGTGACCAGCACCTCACAAGGGGAGGACAAGCCAAAATAGTAATAATATAACAACAAAATTAAATGAGAAAAATTAACAAAGAAAAGTTCAGAAAAAAAAAACCAAGAACAACAAATTCTAAGACATTATTAAAAGGAGAAGTTAAAAAATCTCAAGAATCTCCAAAATGAAATTGTTGCAGAGTGGGCAATTCCCCCTGCTAACCATAAGCTCCCTTGAACACATCCTGCAGAAAGTGTGGCCACAAGGTATAAAAGAAGCAGCCTTATGCCTGACCATGCAAATACAGCAAGTGTGCTCCATGGAACCCACTCCATCATCTTCACCATCTTCATCTTCATCCTCATCTTCCTCTTCATCACTCAATATATACCTTGACCCTTCAAGCCCCATTTCCCTATCAGTCTCCTCTAACAAGTCCATCAGCGACATCATCACAGGGGCCTGCTCCTGGCCCTCCTCCTCCTGCGCCGCCGCTTCTGCCGCCTCCTGCGCCGCCACCGCCTCCCTGGCCGACAGCGCCCGCCCCTCCCCCAGCTTCTCGCCGTCTTCTGCCTCCTCGTCGTCGAAGCTGTCGCGGAAGGTCACCACGCGCCCCCGCCGGTACGGCTCCGACGGCATGTTGGTCGAGTTCTTCCGCGAGAGCTGCGGCCGGAGGCTTCCGGCCGGGTTGGCCTCGGTGCCTTCGACAGCGAAGCGGGTGGACCCTCGGCGGCTGAACTGGGGGCGGATGGCCGGAGCCGCGGTGGACGGAGAAGTGGAGTCCTCGGTGGCGGGCTCGAGGTCCTCGACCTGGTGAGTCATGTAGTTAGATGCCATGTCCGAGTCGGAGTGAGTGGGATCCTGAGTCGAAGGTAGAGTCTGAGTTGGGAATCGGACCGAGTTACGGCGACCAAACTGGGTAAAGATTCTGCTATTCGGGTTAGGGACAGGAACATCCGAAGTAGGGATATGAATTGACGATGTCCAAGCAGAGCCTGCGCGCTTTAGTCGAATCTTATCCTTGAAAGCTTTCCACGATCTGCATTTTGAGTTTTTCTTTTTTAATTATTTTCCATAAATGCTCCTGAGATAAAATTCTTTTTTTATAATTAAAATTTAGTGTTTTGAAGAAAATTTTAAATAAATTTAATTTTTAATTTCCGAAAATAATTATTATTTTTTATTTTGTATTCATATAAAAAAAAACTATTCAATTAAACCTCACCTTCCAATTAATTTATATATAGATTAATTTTAATTTATAAAAAATCCACAAAAATGTATGATGAAGAAAAGAAAAATTAAGCAGCAACATTGAAGAAAGTGGACCTGCGATCCTTTTTGTTGGTCTCGTCGTCTTTGATGATGTCAAGTAGGGTTCTGTTCTTGGTTGGTGGTGATTCCCTGGGCGGCGTTGAGGAAGGTCTCTTCTGGTTCGCTAACACGTCGTCAAGGGTCAAGCCGGTTAGCACTCGCCCTCGGCTGCTATCGGAAGCTGACATTTGTTCATGTAGGGTTACCCTCCGGCGACCTACCATCACACACACACACACACACACACACATTTTTCCCAATAACACGCAATTTCTTCGTTACTAAATCTGTCAGCAATAACACATACCATTTCTGCAAGAACAAACTTTGCATTCTACATTCATGCATGCTTTCATTTATTTCAAATCCTTGAAACTATATCTCCCTTTTTAGGGTTCCATCTCCAGAATGAAAAAATGAAACTTATAGTGTAAGGTTCTATTAAATGGGTAATGTGTGGCCATTTCCTTCCCCCGAAAATAGTCTTTTTCTTGGAAATGAAAGGAAGAAAACAAGACAGCATGAAAACGTTTTTTGTTTGTTTGTGTGTTCATTCGTTTTCTGGGTTGTGACATTGTAATGAAAACAACAGAAAGAGAGGAAGCCTGGGATGATACCTTTGGTCCCCGAGCAAATTGAGAGAGAGGTTGCAGGTGTATGATACACACACGAACACTGCTATGTGTGAATTGATTGATTGATTGATTTACTCCTGCAAATGAAGAACAGTGAGTAATATGATACGTGCATGAAGAGTGATTAGAATCAAGAAATGGTCTCACGGTCATTGTTTTTTGATGATGAAAGATGGCATGATGATGTTGTTGTTGAAATGGGTGTTCTGGATTTGTGACCTTCTAAACTTTGTTGAGTGAATTTGCAAATGGGGATGGGTGGTGCATGGTGATTAGATGAAGGGGAGAAATAAAGAAGAGAGAGTGTGTCGGGGTTTGGAGAGAAAAACGATTTTTATGGGGAAACACATCTCTCCCATTTTTGCGGGATGATCCTCTTATAATCATTCTCCATCTCTTTCATAATGCAAGGTTTACAATTTTATTATTGCCATATTTGGAAATCAATTTCATCTTTTATTTTATATTTACTAGTGAAAATTAAGTGTCCAATTGTAAAATTATAACAAATTTGTGTATATTAAAACTTATTAAAAGTGTGTAGCTCTCTCTATATATATTAATAAATAGTATTATTATATTTTTTTAAATAATATTAATAATATTATGTAAACAAATTATAATATATTCTATGAATGACATTAATTAAAAAATAAGGACAAAATATATTGGTCTAAATTTTAGGATTAAAATATAATTAAATATAGTCTAGTTTTTTTTTCTTAGATATATGTCACGGTTTCCCACTCTAATATTCATCAAGAATAATAATAATAATGTTATCTTAAAATTTTAAAATAATAAATAAATAAATTTGACAATATTATGATAAAAAATATCTTAAAACATGTAATGTGATGATATTTTTTTATGTAAACTATTGTGGGAAAATATTCAATTAAAGAACTAAACTATTGTTGAATACATTATCGATTTTGGAACTTATGATTCTAGATTACTCCGGTGGGTTCTTAATTAATATATATATATATATATATATATATATATATAGAGAGAGAGAGAGAGAGAGAGAGAGAGAGATTAATAGAAACAGTTAAATCAATGATTTTTTTTGGAAAAGATATTACATGATTTTTAAAACTCTAATATCAGTATTCATTAATACTAAATATAATAAATATTCATAATCTTTTATAGAGGTGAAATAAAGTAAATAAATTTAAAATTGTATAGAAATTATAAACTGAAGATCTCTAGTTCCAATAAGCTCCAGAAGGAAATATTTAACGATAAGATGAACTTTAGTCCTTCTTTAAATCACATGATGGATTTAAAGAGTGGAGAAGGATAGTTTTGAGGGAAAAGAGAGGGCAAAGAAAGATTGGTAGGTTAAAAAAAAGATGATAAAGAAAGGTAAGGAAATGAGATAAAAATTTATGAAAATTGATGAGTGATTTAATTGATTTAAATGATAAAAAGTTATTTTAATAAAAAAGTTTTAGAATGATCAAAATATCTATTTAATAAAAATTATTATTAAATAATTATTAGTATTATTATTAATATAATAATAATTATTATTTATATATTTATTATTATAAATAATATTATTATGATTTAAATTATTTGTATTGTAATTATTAATATATTATAATTATTTTATTATTAGAATAATAATAAAATGAATGAAATTTTTATGAAATTTTTTAATAGAATATTTATTATTATTATTATTATTAAACAATTATCACTCATATCTAATAATAATAATAATAAATCGATTCTTTATTATTATTAAATATAATAATCAATTCTTTTTAATAAGTGTAGTGATAATCAATTCTCTATAACATAATTAGAATATCTAAATCTCAAAAGAAAAATTATTTATGTAAATACACATTAGATGGATTATCTTTCTCAATTTATTTCTTTATCAGAATCCTTCTTCCACTCCTCCTTTAAATTTGTACTCTCAAATACATTAACATATATGAAAAAAAACACAAATCACTCAATTTTTTTTTCATCCACGTAACAAACACAACGTCAAAGTGTAGTTTTGTATATATTTATTTTATTTTATTGATGAGTTCTTCTGAAAACTTAAAAAAAATAAATTATAGTACATTAATGATGAGGAAATTGATGTAATTCTTTTACGAAGATCATCCAGTATAATTTTAATTTTATAAAGGTGAACAAGTATAATTTTGATTTTTGTTTCTTCCTAAGTTTATGTGCTCAAAGAATGGTAATAAAACACAAAGTACTTTGTGGTATTACACGCCAATTTTTTTAGCCTAGCATCTTATTTTAATTAATTTTCATTAATTTCAAAAAGTATTAAAAAAATCAATTAAAAATACAGTAATGTTATAATAATTAAATAATGTTAACTCTAATTATCTCTTCCCAAACGGTATTTATATTCTCTGGTAAAATGAGTTCACTTTCTCTTATACAGTAATGTACAAGCATGAACAACAGCCATAAGTGACCAAAAAATCACCAAACTCCCCCAAAAAGATTCTCTCTTTTTTTTTTTTTCTAATAAATCATATGTGTGGAATATATATTAAAACAATACTTTTTATTTTTGAATAACTTTTTATACCACTCCCTTTAAAAAAGACAAACAAATTAGCAATTTTACATCGCGGTTATCACATTATATAATTTCCAACTCAAATTACAAATATTCCTTAATAATGATTGAAACTAAAAAAATAAAATGTAAACAAATAGAATGAAAGAAAGATAAAAAGATATACTTCTTAGAAACAGGCTTGTAATTACCAATGAAGTGCCTGCAACTTCTGAGGTCTTAAATTATTTGAAGATAAGTTTGCAAGAGGCAGAACTCCTTGTGCACTTACATAACTCTTTGATCATATCTAACCTCTTCTCTGGATTTGCATAAATGCTACTGGATATTATCATGCTCTGCAAATGTTCTGCATTCCCCATAACATATTCTGCAAACCGTAACTCGCCTTTCAAACCTTTGTAACTGTTAAGACGACACGATCTGAGGGACGAAATGCCCACAGGAACAGATTCTCGGTATGACCAATCCGCTACTTCAACCCCATGTTGAGGCAAGGACTCAAGATACATCTGTCACAATATATATATGCACAAACATGAGAAGAAAGGGTGAAAGCATGAAGGGTAAATTAAATGGCAACCCTTGAGGTATTTACAGTTGATTCATGTCGTGATATTTTGTTTCATTTTTTACTCTTCTAAAAGTACTTCTTAAGTGAATCATTGAAGGCATAACTCATCGAACCTTGTCAATGACAAGAACTTGAAGCTTGGGGCAAAAGTTGAGCATTTCCAATACCTCGACCCAGTCTTCGTTATTTTTCATATAGCCAAATTCAACGTGAATCATATTGTGAAACACGCTAACCCCGGTCTTTGGATCAATCCTTGTCCCTTTATCATCCATCTGTAGAAGATAATTTCAACAACAAAATCTTCAGAAACCCTCATTTTCTTTATAAAAGCATAACAAACCACAGATAAATCACAAATCACTTGTTCATTACCCAATCTACGCGCAGAAACTTAGCATTACTAAGGACTACGAGCGAAACATCGATTTTGGCGATCATTGCCCTATCCAACTTGGGCAAAGTCTTAAAGCGCGGCTGAACCGCACGGCAAAAAAAGATCAAATCGACGGCTTCCAAATCCTCGAGGTTGGGGGCCGCAGAAAGAAGTTCCACGAAATGTCGATGTTCTAAGAAAGTAAGGTCTCTGAGATGCATGATTTTGAGCATAGGAAAGTCAACGGAGGAGAAATTCTTAATGATGAAGCGATTGAGCTTGAGAACGACGAGGGTTTTGCAGGTTAGCACGGAAGAAGGCAAGGTGAACATCTTAACGAAGCTTAGGTCAAGGTGTTGAACCCCGCGTTGCACCACGACGTTGATCCAGACGCTGACATTGGTGGAGTCGCAGAGCAAAGAGCGACACTTGAGTCTGAACGATTGGATGGTCTGATGGCAATGGCGCGAGAGGATGGCGATGTGCACGGACTGGACGAAGCGGGAATAGTTGCGGTCGTGTGCGTCTGGGAGGTAGTGGGAATCGTCGAAGCTGAGAGTGGGGCATAAGCACCACAGACTGTTCCACCGCTTGGAGAGGACGGTGGTGGTGATGGCGACGGAGGTTGGGAGGAAAGACAGAATGTGAGAGATGAGTGCGTCGGGTAAAGCGCTGATCCTATCGGCCATGCTTTCATGATTTCTCACCGCACCAACCCCTCTTAAACCCTTTCTTCTCTATTTTCTCCTATCAATTAGGACTACTAAGTCATACCCAACTTAACACATTTTTTAACTGTTTTTTTTTTCTTTAATCGTGGAGGAAAACTTTTTAATTTCATCATTAAATTTATAATAATATGAAAAAAAAAACTTAAAATGATAAGATATTAAGATTATTATTTTTTGTGGTTGGTATAATTTAAATAGAAATAATTCTAATTATAGAAAATTAAAAATTGTTTCAATGAATTAATCCTTCAAATCTCACTATTCTAATATTAAATTCAAAACTCAAATACGTAAGATGTATATGTTGATTTTGAAAGAATATATTATTCTTAAAATCATCCTTACAAATGTTATTAAAGATTACTATTACAATTAGCAATTAAATAGTCTAAACTCATGTCACAACTATTTTAAGAAATGTGAAAAAAATTTCACATAATTCCTTTTAAGTCCCCTAATATAGGAATTGGAATGAGGCTCAATTAAAAGAATTTTGGGCCAAACCTGTACCTAAGTACTATCAAGGCTTTTAACTATTTACACTCCTCTTAAATTTTAATTACCCTTTCCTTTACACAAAATATTCTTTCATCTAAAAAATTATAAATCCTAAAACTTATTATTTGCACTCTACTTTACTTGTCCCTTAACCCTCTTCCCCATTTTTTTTTAATATTTTTATTAAAGGCGCCCAAATTTTACTTTAATTTTTTTCATTAAAATTTATTAATTTTACTTATTTGTATATAAAATACTTTTTATTTTATTTTTATCAAATTCTTGATATTGTATCCAAAAAATTAAGATATGTATGTCATTCCAAAAATTACCTTTCCAGAATGTTTCAGAAAGTAGCTTCTAAAATAGTTCCAAAAATTAAATTCAAAGACAGTTAAAAGATATTTTTCAGAATTGTTTTGAAAACTACTTTCTGTAATTTTTTTTGAAAAACACTTTCTTTATTTTAAACAAGTTACTTTAGAATTCATGACAAGTGACCGAGTGTGAAACTTCTTCACAAGTAACATCCATACAAATCTCTAACACTTGAGAAAATGTTTTGGAAAGAAAAATTGAGAATGAAGTGATATTATTTTAACTTCTATACACAACTTTAAACAAACAATAACTCTATGAATACTAATAATTTGACTATTTTATTAATAACGATAACCTTACATGTTTACCTACTCCAGAAGAGGTGAGACAAGCGGTTTTGTCCTGATGGGTTTAATGACTTCTTCTATCAGATTTATTGGTTCAAAGTTGGATTTTTTCCTGGGCTTCATTCCAATGTGATCTCATTAATTCCTAAAAAGGAAGGCAGTGATAATGTAAGAGATTTTCAGGCTCTATTGATGTTGCCAACTTGACGAGTCTTCTAAACTCACATATTGCAACCTCTTCCACAAATTCAAGCTCCATCATTTTCACACTTATTTCGAAGGACTTATCCAAAAGGTCATTATATAAAAAATCCAAACTGTTTCGATTTTATTTATAGACGTGATAACCCAATAACAATCTTAATCTTTTCATTAATGATTACAAAATATAATTCAACTTATACTGTGTGAAGACCGCAAATAAAAATTAATTAGTGTCATCCAATAAAAGTGGTTAATAATTAAATTATACTTAATTTGATTCAAATCAAGTCTAATACTCATATTTCACAAATGATTAAGCCTTCAACTCAACTTCCATATCACGATTGAACTATTAATCCAATTTTACGACCACCAATCATTAAGGAATTTATTCTTTTTTTTCTTCAAAGACTATACCTATTCGCAATAATATTAGAATATCTAAATTTTTTAATATTATATATGTTTATTTTTATTTTTGTTAATGTTCATCCAATTAGGTGTATTTCTTTTACAATTATTTTAGTGAATTTTTATTTTATCTTTAAATAAATATTTAAATATCTTAAAATTCATTTAACCATTACGTAATTCTACCAATTTATTTCTAAATTTTAATACAATACATTATTAATACACACATATATATATATATATAACTATTATAATTAAATACAAAAATTCCACTTCAAATATAAATAATTAAATAAAAAACATTAAATATAAAAAAAATTATTATTTACACTTAATTAATTCAATACAATAATCTAGCATAATTTAAAAATTAAACAAACTTGATTTAAATATTTTTTCTTAAATTATCCTTTTCTTTATTTTTATTTTACTAATTTTGCACTACTTACGTATTTTTTTAAAAGTTATTAATCAATAAAATTATATTATTTTTCGCAACTTTAAATTTATATTAAACACTTAAAATAATTTTTATATAATTTTATTATTTATTTTTATTTTTCATTTTTTTATATTAAAATTATTATTAAACAAAATATTATTTCTATAATATCTTACCTAATTTTTTTTATTATTCTGATAAATTATTATTTTTATCATTTTTTTCTTTAATTTATTAAAAATAAAAAATAGAAAAACTAGTTCAGAATTCCATTTAAAAACTTAAATTCAACTCATATTTCGATCAATTTTCTCTGAATTAAAAATCAGAATTCGACACCCAAAAATCGAATTCAAAACCGCTGATTATGATATACCACTGTTTCTGCAGAAAAAAAATAAAAAAATCTGTCATTCTTCATATGGCTAATCCCAAACTTTGCTTTACCGTCATGATATTCTACAGGACTGTAAAAGCAGTTTAAGCAGAAATGATATTTTGAAATCCAAAATATACGTATAATAGAAGCACATTTGCATGTTTAATGCAGTCTCATGTCTATTAGGCGATGTTGAAAGGCTAATTATTAGAATTTAACATATTTTTTTAGAAGTTTAAGCATTACCAATTTAATTTTTGAAGAAAATTGTTACACAAAAAAAAAATTGTTCCAGACAAAATTCAAACCCAACCAAGTACCTTAGAGTTGGAGATTGATACTCCAATCACTAAACTACTAAATTTTCTCGATAATAACTTACAAATAAATTATATTTATATACAAATAAATATATATCCGTATAAATATATAAATATATAAATACAAATATATTTATATATTTTGATATATTTATATAATTATATATTTAAATATTTATACGTTGGATGTGAGGACACGCTCGAAGGTGAGAGTGTGTGTCGAGTGAGTTTTCAAAATTTGATGTCAAATTTGTGAGCGGGTCTCTTTATATGAGTTTGTAATTTAATGACAGAGTATAATCTTTATAATTTATTTATATAATGATATAAAATAAATTTGGGAAACGCGTCATTCACTCAAGTGAAAAATACTAATTTTCGCTCAAGTGAGGCTTGAGCGAGTGAATTTCTGTCAAGCAAGAGTCAATTTCACTTTCACCCTCGAAGCACACCCTCACATCCAACATATAAATATATAATTATATAAATATATATATTTGTATTTATATATTTTATATTTATATATTTACACGAATATATATTTATTTGTATATAAATATAATTTATTTGTAAGTTATTATTAGAAAATTATAGTAGTTTAATGGTTGAAGTATCAACTTTCAACTCTATAAAATATTAGGTTCGAATCTTGTCAGTGATAATTTTTTAACTTAAGTGAATTTTTGGTTGAAAAAAAATTAAAGAGACTTTTTTTGGCGAGTGAATAATTAGTTGTTACGTTATATTTACATATTATTTTATCCACGTATAATACATGTAAGTTGGTACATATAAATGAATGGATGGTTGTCAATGCTATGGGATGTACCCATATATAAATACCTTAATTACATATTTTGTTTTGCAAATTGAATTGAATTATTTCCGCTATAAGTTGTGCATAAAAGTTTTGAATTGATAATTTCAATAAAATTAAGGTCTTAGGATTGAAAATTAATCCTATAATGGAAATTGAAATTATGAGTTTCAATTTTATTTATGGCATATAATATTTTTGTTATGTGAATAATTTACATATTTATTAAAATTAATAATAATAATAAAATGCTATGAATGATTATAGCAATTAAAGATATTATTTATTTGAAATTAAGCATGATAAATTGTAAGGTTATTTTGATTTCAAATTATTAATGATTTTATTTCAATTACCCATAGTATGAACGCTAAAATTATGTATAATTGATTTATGGGTTAATTGAAGTTCGGTATTATAAGGCATTTCAGGATCACCCAAATGTTGATTAATTGTTATTATAATTAATGAGCATAAAGGTGAATAATTTTGTATGCGTCACTAGTTTTATTTATATACCTAAAGGTGTTAAGTGATTATCATTAATGTTATAAAATGATTAGCGTAATTATGTTTGTGTATTAATGGATCTCCCAAAGGAGAATATTAATAAGCATAGAATGATTATTTATATTTGAATCTGTATTTATGTTTAATTTTTATGACTCAAAGTGTTAATGTTAGGCATGTGTTAATTGAAGTATTTGTTCATGTAGCTCTACATTCGCTTTCTTTGTCTGTTCTAGTCTTTAATGGATTAAATTTTTCTGACTGAAGTGAACAAGTCTAATTTCACTTAGGTGTGTTGGATCTTGATTTGACTTTCTAAGTTGAAAAATCGGCTGTTATCACTGATGCTAGTAACAATGAAGAGAAAACTTATTATAGAGCTTGAGAAAGATAAAACAAACTTAGTCTTATGTTTATGCGAATGAGTATAACAGACAATATTAAGTTTTCTCTTCCTAAAACTGAGAACACGAAGGAGTTTATGAAATTTATGGAAGAACGCTCTCAAACTGCTGAACACGTAATCAAAATGACAAATATCATAATATGCATGAACACGTAATCGAAATGAAAAATATCGCAGCAAGACTCAAGTCTCTTGGAATGATAGTGGAAGAAAATTTCTTGTGCAGTTCATTTTGAACTCGTTACCGTCTGAGTATGATCTGTTTCACATGAACTATAACACCATGAAAGACAAATGGAA